AGAAGCTGCAGAGGTGGGGAAGATGATCACAGTGACATCTGAGACTCAGAGTCACTCACAATCCATTTTGAGTGACCTCAGGGGCAGTCAGCTTTGCCACAAAAGTTGTACAAAAATCCTGATGAAGTTTTTCTTTTTTCTCCATGTTTTTTAGGGGAGGGAAGGTTGGGAGAAAGTTTATGACTTTCTGAATTTGTCTATACTCTTTTCCTTAAGTTACTTAGAAACTGTGAGTCAGCCTTCCACAAATATTCTTTTATTTGCGGAACTGGGGATTGCATTCAGGCCTTTGTGCTTGCCAGGGAAGTGCTTATTCTACTGAGCCATCTCCCCGGCCTCCTTCCACAAATATTCTTAAGCTTCTTCCCATGCATGTATTTCTTCAAAATCAGACATATAACCAGATCTAATAAAATTATTCTAGAACTGTGCATAAGTGACAGTAGTACTCAATCCATTTATTTAATGCTTAGAGCACATAGGGATGTATCATTACCACTTTTAGGGTTTGACTTACAATCTAAATACAGTGAAAAAGTCCACCCCCCCAGATAAAAAGGTAAGCAGTGATTATTTGGCTAAATATCGAAGATTAAAAAAAAATACTTACCCCATTTGGGTTGTTGACCCCAGAAATGAGGGTATACAGTAATCAGCGGCTGCCAGGGTGTATGGTGGTCGAGCGGCCGAATCATCCCAGTAGATGTCCTTCTTCATCTTGGGTAGGCTCATGTGCATCTCATCCACAGCTAGAAGAGAGACCTAAAATCATTGGCAGATTGTTAGAATAGCTCAGATGTGAATTATCAAAAAGAGAATGAAGCATTTCCATTAGGTACACAGGAGCTGGAGAGTGACAAGACACAGGCTGAGTAATTGTACGAATAAAAGCCTACAGCGCATACTCACTACTACCAGGGCTGCTCTGTGCATTTGTACCTACTGTTCACTGCTCAAGGGACCCTGACAATGGGGAAGGTGGGGCTGGCAAGCTGCCCACACCCCATGCACCAAGCCACACCCCCCAGTGTGGGCCTGCATCTCCACACCTGAGGCAGGTGAGGCCCCTTTCTCTTCTGTACTCACAGTTACAGTATTGTCTTAGTGGCTACCCTGACAGCAGCCACTTAACCCCAGGACAGGAAGGCGAAGATTCTCATTATTTCATCCTGTTAATCCCATAAACACATTAATCACTTCTCATAGGCCCTAGTTTCTTGTTTATTTAAAAAAGCACATCATCAAACCCATGATACTTGAATCTACAGAGACTTTTCCTGTTGGCTTTGACAAAGTGACACAGGAATACATTAATTCTTTCAGACTCCCCTTTTGACAAAGAGTGAGTCATTGAGGCATTGCTCTTCTTCCCTAATAGACTGACAACGTGATACACAGTGAAACGTCTGAACCTAAAGCAAAAGGAAGGTGAAGGCTGAGCTTAGACTGTGGTACCAGGATGGGAATGGCGTGGGCATAGTCTTGCCCGGAAGGAAAATTCCCCAATGCCATAGAAAGCGCAATGGACTAGTGCTTTGGGGAGAGGGCTGCATTTCAGGGAGGTTTGAGACACAGCCTAATGTGGCCCTGGCTCAGTGTCCATCTGCTGGACCTCTGATTGCTAGAATCTACTTGCTGTGAGTTTAGGAATTCACAGCAGATTACATCTGGAACCACTTCATGTCACATAAACCTCTCTGGGTAGCAACAGAAAACAGATAAAATAATGAGCTAAACATTGTACTATCCTTGAAGGAAGAAGCCAGGTAAAGCTAATAGAGAAACTTAAAGAGAAAATCAACTTGACATTCTACTTGAATTTCATGGGAACTGAGACTCAGGACATGTGGGCCTCCAGGAAGACAGCAAACGTGCTGCGGAGCCAACTCTCTTTCATCTGTGGCTAAAAGCTTGGGTGCCCAGGGCCTGTCCCTGCAGCCTGCTCAGATTGGAAATATCACAAACATTTTACTGCTAATATTTATAAAAGAAAAGAAATTTCCTCTAACCTGCAGATTTCTATCGATGCACCAGTTAGTTTCAAAATCATCATCATCTTCTCCAAAAGGGTTGATAAGTTGTTCAGCTACCTGCATTTAAGAACACAAAATAAATCGTTATGCTGATGGTAAAACTAAACAGAGATCGAGGATGACTGTTGCTTTGTTCTCTTTTTTGGGACTCAGTTTCATAATATGAAGATTAGAGGAGAGCGTGCTGCTCTACAGATAGAATCTAACTAGCATATAAGCCTCAGTTCTGTCACTAGAGATGACAAGACAAGGCTAAAGTGTAGAGAAAGACTGAAATCACAGTTGAAGGAAATGTAAGGTGATTTTATAGATATTAGATATAACTGCTGAGTTTATGAATCAGAGCTAGTAAGGTCTAGAAGTCGAGCCTTACTTAATTTTACCCTGAAAGATTCAATTTTTATCCAGTTTAGTTTTGTTGGGAAAAACTGAGGTAGGTTCTTATCACACATTTGTATTGTTTAATCTTTTACTTACTTTTCTTATATTTATTTTGTCAATAGTAAATGATAAAAAAATAGTAAATGATTTTGTTATGTTCTTGAATGGAATAATATTGATGAGAGCTTTATGTGTCAACCTGTTATTCTGTCATTCACTTTTTGGAGTGATTTTCTTTAATTTTTAGTATCTCTGTATCTGTGTGTGTGTGTGTGTGTGTGTGTGTGTGTGTGTGTATGTGCACATGTGTGCGCGTGCACAATCACATTCAAGCACTCAAGTGAGTGAGAAACTCTACATTAGATCTAGATGGAAAAAGCTTTGTATGGAATAAGGATATCTTTTGAATGGTTCCCAAGTGATACATTCTGAGATGATTTGGTAGCAACTCTACCATTTAGCTTTTAGGGTTTAAGTCAGCTCACTTAAAGCAGTTATTTTTGACCTTGGCTCTACCTGAAAGTCACTGGAAGAACTCTTTTCTTTCTTTTTTTTTGGCAGAACCAGGGTTTGAACTCAGACCCTTGTGCTTGCCAGAGAAGTGTTTATTCCACTGAGCCATCTCCCTACCCCTAACTCTTGACAAAGCTAACAACCAAAAATCAGATACCTGGGCCCCACCCTTACAGGTTCTGCCTTAATCTGTGGAAGCCAGCAGTAACTAAGAAAAGGTTGCAGCAGATTTTATATATATATTTTTCCATAATTTTATTGAGAAACAAATAGCAATGAGACAGTTTCAAACCAAATTGGTAGGATACTTCCAATAATTAACACATTGCATACATTCTTCCTAGTGGTTAACTGCTGTACAAGATGTGGACATGATATCCTATTTACAAACACCATTAGAACAAATCCTTCTATTCATTGAGAATGTAACTATGTATCTATCCCAACCACGTTGAATACAGATACAAAATGGACATTCACCTGTATCCCCTTTCCGTTATTTGAATATTATAGGTGTGTAAACTCAGCAAAATATTCTAAAAGAGAGTGTGGCCCAAGCAGCAACTGACTGAGAGAGGCAGGGACCTCCCTCAGCTTGTTCTAAGGGACAGCCCCAGGCAAGGCTGTGCCCAAGGCAGTAAGCCCCAGGGCAGTAACTGTGCAGAGTCCTTTATTGTGAGTTGGAAGAATCTACTTTCTGTTTTCTTGGCCTGATGTTTTGCTTATTTGGGCTACCACTTGTGTCTTGAAAATTCTTTTGTTCTAAATTTTCATTTTTATGGTTATGAGTCCTATATATTTTATTTAGTCTATACCCAATTATTCAAATGACACCTATATTGGTGAATTAACAGTCTCACAAAGAACATAAAGCAGGTGGCTAGTAGACTGTTCAGAAGTCAAGATAGTTCTGCTATACTTTGGAAAGACTTGTAAATATCCGAACTGTTGAAACAGAGCAGCTCTTCAAAAGAGAAGACACAGCCCATTGACGTGGGAAAACTCACTTCTATAAAGTTGCGCTGGCTCCTAATGTCTCCAACTGTTATACATATTTTATCTTTTAAAAATACTTTATGAGGAAAAATATTAATAGTTTAGAAATAGGCTGGAAGAAAGGACCAACAAGCTACAAACTTCTTTACATGTTGGCTTAGCAGCTTTTTTTTTTTTTTTTTTTGACTGAGCACCTCACACGGACCAAAACAAAGAATTAAAAGTTTCACACAGCTCAGAGGAGAGGGGGAAACAGTTTGGGCCAACTATGGTGCTACCATTTTCATAAAGGTAGAGTCTACTTTTTCCTCTAGTGGGAAATGAGTGTCATTCATCTGACCTACTCTTTCTTGCTCTTGAGTAAAAAATAATTAAGAATTATTTCCTAAGAAAAGACTTCTGAAATAGAAATAGTGCTTCAACCTATAGCCAAGACAGCTGGTGGCTCTTTGCAAAGCCTCATGTTTAAGAATTCGACTTCATAAATCATCTTCAAATTGCCATTAGA